CATAGAATACAGTGACCATTTTGTAAGAAACACCTCTTGTCCTACGCATGGCAATAACTTTCCATAGTAGACTCACATGGACTTCCGCAATGCGCCAAGGTATTGTGCCGTCCAACCTTCACGTCTACGTTCAACTTTCATGTCATGCGTCTCATCTCCATGTCAGATCCATCAGTGTTCCTCTAGTATATCAGATATGATTATAGATTTAATGAGCACTCCATCTGACAAACTCACAAAAGTGTGAAACAGTTGCTTGAACGTGTTGAGGCGGTGGTGAGATGTCTCCTGTTATGTTCGAACCACAACACCCACCAGCCTCTCGAATGAAGAAAGAAGAAGAGAGAGAGAGAGGGAAATAAGGGCGTATGTCGAAACCACCCCTCCCCCTAAACAACTTTGAAGCCATCAACCAAATAAGCCTAAATGCATGTGCTACTCGTGAGGACTAGGTAGGGAGTGTGTTGCAAGCTTGTTAGCTATAGTTTGTCCATGCCATCATGTAGCGTCACTTTAGGCCCTTTATATTGTGGGCTAAAAGTGAAGCTTGAAGGAGAGAGAGAGAGAGAGAGAGAGAGAGAGAGAGAGAGAGAGAGAGAGAGAGAGAGAGAGTATTTAAGCACTGCTCCACACGTTACAGGTAGTGATGATTATTCCATAAATTCTAGGAGCGATGCATCGATAAGAACCGATGTTTGATGATTTAAAGAAGAATAGCTGTGGCAAGATAGTGAGAGAGCCCGAGGGAAGTGACAAGGATTTATGTAGTTTTTATTGGTTTTTTTACAACAGATTTTTATTGGTTGATGGGCCCATCAATAATGTTGATGCTTACACCGTGGAATGCCTTGGGCTGAAGCCAACGCGATTGTCAATCTGTTCGGCTCGTTGGTTTGGTAATCCAAACCAAAACCAACCAACCAAGTATTTTTCTCTCACAAAAATCAAGACCACCAAATTTAATCCAAAGACCAAAGACCAACCAAATGTAATGTGCCCTGTTAGCGTGCATTATTGCTGGTCTCATGTATGCTTGGCTCATGTTGGGCTGCCAACCAGCTATTTTGAGTTACATCCCCATATTCTGGCTAAATTGAACTTGCATTTGCTTGACGGCATACCAACGCTAGGTTGGACAACCAATCAAACTCTACATGACAAAATGACAATATTCTCATAACTCAATTCATTAGAGATGTTGTGAGTTTATTCATAAGTTAGTTTATTTTTATAGCTAAAAAATTTAACTTAGGACAAAACTACAACGACTTACATGCATACACGAGCAACAACTTCCGGCGAAAATCAAGGATTATGGTGCTCTACCAGAGTTTGGAGAATGGTGACCATCTCAAAATAGGGGCAGATACAGAGCTAAACAAAGTATGTGAAGCTGTTTTTAGATGAAATTATATGGAGTATCAAATTTTTTTATAGTGCCATTAATCTGCAATTGCAAGCTACTCCTACACTGCAGCTTTAAGCACCCTGACGTCAGACTTGAGAAACCTCTTCAACTAGTCGCGCTCTCTGACACGGCCCAGCGCATCGCGTCATCGTCTCCCCTCCCCACAAGCCAGCGAATTCCAGCCCGTGACCTCCCCAGCCCCGATCTCCGGCGATGGCCGCGCGGCGCCTCGGATCCCCCGCCTCCAGGTGGCTGCGCCCGTCCGCGCTGCTCTTCCTGGTCGCTTCCGCCCTCCTCTCGGCCCCGTTGCCGGCCCGCGCCCTCCGGTTCGACCTCGAGTCCGGCCACACCAAGTGCGTCTCCGACGAGATCAAGGTCAACGCCATGGCCGTCGGCAAGTACCACATCGTCGGGCCCGACCCCAACTTCCCTGACGCCCAGCTCCCCGAATCGCACCGCATCTCCCTCAGGGTAAGCAAGCGAGCAGCGCCAGGCGGCTATTGGGTGATCTGGCTTGGGAGGGGAACCCATGACGATGTGCGTGTGATGATTGGGGGCACTTTCCTTGGATTGATGGGCAGGTGACTTCGCCGTACGGGAACAGCATGCACTACGCGGAGAACGTGCAGTCGGGCCACTTCGCCTTCACCGCGGCAGAGGCTGGCGACTACCTGGCCTGCTTCTGGGCGCCCGACCACAAGCCGCCGGTTACCATGGGGTTCGAGTTCGACTGGAGGAGCGGCGTCTCCGCCAAGGACTATCCCAGCGTCGCCAAGAAGGGCAAGGTCGATGTGAGTATTTCGCTTCGCCCTCCAGATTCCTACCTTTGTTTTGGTCAATTCACCACCAATCTGGTCACGTCGATAGATACAGCGTTGGCTAGTGGTTCACTTTTTGGAATTGAGAAAATAGATCATGGGTTCTAATTTACTTGTGGCAGCATAGTTACAGGACTGTTCTTTCGATTTGGGTGCTTGGTGTGGACTAACTTGTGCGGTTGTGGGACTAGTATGTTTAGACAGGAGTAATTTTCCGATTGTGCATGCTGACAGTTTGTTGATCAATTCTGTTTCACGTTGATGTTGAAGAGCATTTGGTTTTGCAATTTTCAGCTTGCTAGTGATTTTGGTGTGTTTGTATGTTGGACTCCTAGATTTTACTGGTTAGAGCTTTTCAATTTTCTGAAATAAGTTAGGTTCAATTTGGGTATGGATCGTGTATGCTTGTAGCCTATTTTACGCTGTTCATAATGAGTTCTTTTTAGTTTTGCTACCTGTGCTATATTGATATTTTCTAGCCCTGGTGCTGGGTTCAAGTATGGTACACGTGGGGCTGGATTTTTTTGGGAAAAAAAATATGTTCGTGTGGTTTTGTAATTTGAATCAAGAAGCTCATTTTTTAAAATTATATTGATATTAGTAAGTTATTGCTACAGTTCAATTATATGTTCAATGTGGATATAGAAAGGTCATAAGCTTAGTAACCAACAGGTTGCTTGTTACTTTTTTTGTGATATTTTTTCTTGGTTTTCATTGCAATGTTTTCTTAGTTTCATACAAGTTGTGCACCATGTTGACTGTGCTTGAATGATACACAATTGACATTTGTAATGTCTCTCACTTGGTGTTTTTTTTATCTTGTTTTAATTATGCATGACTTAATGGTAAGCATCATGTGTGATTTATAGTCAGATTCTTATTGAATATATGTTAAACGAGTTTGGTCTCTTGGCATAAAATTCTAGATAAGTGGACTCAGAGATATGATATGTGATGAAGGTGGGATGTCATGGTTTTAGCATTGAACTATTATATCTTATTAATGCTGATCATAAGGGTATTTTTTTTTTAATTTTCCATTGAAAGAAAAAGGAATGGGAGAAAAGAAGACTTATCTTTTTTCTGACTTCTTAGAACTTGAAATTGGGCATTTTGGTGGCTGTGACAGCTTATCTGCTTTTCACCTCATATTTGCAAGTTATCAGGTTGTAATTTAAACTTTTAGTGCTATCTAGGAGTTGATATTGCTAATAATGTGTCCCATATAGCATTTGCTCCTCTAGTTATTTATTGGTCATGTTGACACTGCTCATAAGTCATAAGTCATAATCAATTCCTGAGACTGAGCAAAATGTCTTATTTTTGTGAGAATAGTACTACTTTTTGCCATGTTGTTTCTTAGTTCCTCTGTTCATGCACGTGTGTTGCTCATATGTTGCAGATGATGGAATTGGAGCTGAAGAAGCTAGAGGAAACTATAAGAAATATACATGAAGAGATGTTTTATCTGCGTGAAAGGTAGTAGTCTACTAAGCCAACGAGAAAATGGATTTTGCGGAAAAACTAAAAAGCAATTCTGATACCACATGGCCATGTCTTGTGTCCAGGGAAGAGGAAATGCAGGACCTGAACAGGCGAACAAACTCAAGGATGGCTTGGCTAGGGTTCCTCTCCCTTGGCATCTGCTTATCAGTGGCAGGTTTGCAGCTGTGGCACCTGAAGACCTTCTTTGAGAGGAAGAAGTTGCTGTAGTTGCCCCATGATTCATGGTAGACCTCAGCGCAGGTGTACCTATTTTTGGGTGAACTGTCGATCTGTTACAGAGCTTGGAATCCCATGTAAGAAACTGGTATGTCATACTAGAGAAATATGCTTCACTATGCTTTAGCCTGTCCAGTTAAACTTCTAAGAAACTTAAAAGGGGAACTAAATTGTCTTCCATTCAATAGTTCGTGTTGTATTTTGGACTTCTGGAGCACCGTGTTGACTCTTCTTTACGTGATAGTTGTGTATCTGGAGCTCCTGCCTGCGAGATATTATGAAGCTTGAGCAATGAAAAGCACGACGTTCCTAGACCCAGTCGCCAGTTCCACATGTAATCGTTTGGGTGTAGTCTGCAGCATGGCTGTTACACCATGACTGCAATGATTGATGGCCGGTAACCTGATAACTACCATATGCTACAGTTGCTACACCATGGTTGCAATGATCGATGTCTGGTAACATGATGGCTATCATATGCTTCGTAACAGTTACCAGTTCATTCAGGAAATTGCAAAGAATCACCTTCTCCAAATCACAAAGGTAACAAAGTATATTGTAATCAAACAACAAAATTTGTAATCCGCAAATATTTCTCCGTATAAAGTTTACAGTAACTTTGACAAGTAACACTTACAGAATATGCATGGTAAATTCACTTCCCATTGCCAATGAGGCAGTTCTCAATAATAAGCATATAAAGATCCTGGCAACAGAAAAGAACAGAAAAGGAAACCATCTGATCTATAGAACCCCACATCAACCTATATGCTCCAGAACTATGGTCTAATAGCTGAACATTTTTCATAATTTACGGAGAGATTCAACAAGAAAACCTAAAGCCAAAGTTGCAAAGGATGTGGTACAAACAAAAGCTTCTGTTTTGTTTAACAGAAATAGCATCGACGTAAAACAGCAAGAAAATTTTGCAGTCTCAGTGGACCTTTCTCGAGGCACCTAATTTTGTACAGTCATCAATGTCAGATCTCCTGAGAAAATCCCATTCAAGACACGAGTTGTAGTAAAGAATATATAATTATATATATGCACTGCTACTGGAACAAATGCCAGTGGTTCTCATGCGAATAATGCTCCTTGAGCTTCTCAAGCCTCTTGAGGATCTCCAAGAAAGATGGTCTCAGACTGATATCCCCAGACCAACATAGCTCAACCAAACTGCAATAAGAAAAACAAGTTTAAATACTACAGCACACTCGCCATGTTAACATGGTAATTGTAAGAGTGTCAAGGATATTTTGACTTATACATACTCCTTCAACTCAGTGGTATGACTTTTTACGGAAAACTGGGCGATGCCCATCTGCCACGCACTTAGCAGCCTCATAAGGTTCAGTAGTTGGAGAAGGGTGGATCACCTTCCAGCATCTACGATCATACAGAATAATCTGTCATTCAGTGATACCACCTTACTGCTGGGTGCTGGCTTCTACTTTTAGGGATGAAATTACCTCATATAGAATCATGGCAAAAGAGAAGATATCAACTTTCTTGTCATATTTCCGGTGCTTGAAAACTTCAGGGGCCATGTACCGATCTATGTTTGTCCAAAGTTAAACATTAATATATTGAATTCAAGAGAAGATATTCAAAGGAAAGTGGCAGCTCCTGAAGCTTACAGCTTCCTGTCTCTCCAGTCATCTTGTATACATCATTCACATGCTGTGCTTTGATGATCTTGCTAAGGCCGAAGTCTCCAACCTTCAAGTGGTTGGCAGCAGAATTCACCAGAAGAATATTTCTAGAAGTTGACACATTGAGTTAGACTGGGACAAAAAATATTGTCACATTATCAAAAGCAAGCAATCCCATGACAAACCTTGGTTTTAAATCTCGGTGAATCACAACATTAGGCTCATTATGAAGATATGCCATTCCTCTGCAAAAGAACAAACATAATGAAGAAAATAACACAAAAATCAATTATTACAGCTAAGAATTACGGAAAACCAGCTAATACATTGGAGGAGTGACAGTGGTATGCAATGACGTGAGTCAGAAATATATGCAGGCAGTATATGAAGGCTCAAGGATATGGTGTTTATGGCATAACTAGAATGCATATACTATTATGGCACACCATCTCAATCTACAGTTCAAATAGATCCAACCGACCATGTTACTATAAGTTTATAATGCTGTCAACTAAATAGATTTGACATGATCTCGCAAGGGGTGATAAATAGATGCATTTGTAACTGCAGAGTCAAGGTACTCACGGTCAAGGCTATTCTTAGCTACTATATATTACACGAGAAATTATTTAAACAGCATAATGGCTGTTCTTAACAACTATATTACAACTATAAAGGCCTCGAGGAGAACACAATATTACTCGAGGATGTTTCGCTGTGTTTGTCCTCGCCCGTGGGAGAATACGTCTCGCAATATTCGTCCATTGAGGACATCAATTGTGTAATTATTGTATATATGTTTTCACTCCCTATCCCGAATCAAGTGCTTTGAAACAAGAGAAATAGTTGTATCATGTAATTAATAGGGGAGCGCATGGCCATCCCAAATCAAGTACTTGTGCTATGGACAAACACAGTGAAACAGAGTTACAGAGGTGTATGCACTAAGAGTCAAGCACATGAGGTGAGAGTACCTTTTGCAATATCCAGTGCAAAACTAACAGCGGTAAGTGGGTTGAGTGCACCTTTGTCCTTCAGATATTGATGAAGATCACCCTGAAAATGCATTTAACTTAACATGAGCAGGTTTCAAATAGTCGACACAAAATGATAGTTGAACACAAAGCAAAATACATACTCCTCAGAGAAACTCAGTAATTAGCATTAGAGGCTTGGTTTCTGTAACTGCTCCAAGGAACTGGACAATATTTGGATGTCTCAGCTTTATTAGCAAGTTGACTTCATGCTTAAAATCTTGGCTGCAGGAAAGGAAAAAAACATTACATAAATATATGCATACACAAACATGTACTATAGTTAACTATGATTGATGAAAAGTTGGTGTACAGTCAATCAGTTGGAGCAAGCAAGGAGGTCGATAGTTATTCTGATATGATTGACATACATCACCAGCCTGTCATCAGATAAGGATGGAAGAATGCGCTTGACAGCAATAGGTGTTCCTCGCCAATTTGCTTTCAGAATTTCACCGAAAGAGCCCTGTTGTAGGAAGCAGGTTTCACAAACTTAAGATAACCCAATACAAAAGGAACTAAAAGTGAAGTACAGTAAATCACTAAACTATGCTATACTTTATCAAATAATTGTATTGAGAAAGAGATGTTTCAAGACTTGAAACCTTTCCGATAACTTGTGCTTTTGTAAAGTCCAATTCAAGTGGGTTAATCTCCCAGTCAGCCTTATTTGTTAGAGGTGGTGGAATCGTCTTTGGTTCAAAATGGCTTCCAGTTTTTCCTCTACAGGGTAAAAGGAAAAATTCGAAGGAGATGAGAACGATCACATGATGCATCAACCTGCATAATCATATCATATTTACAACCGCCAGCTTAAAAAACTCTCAGTCCAGTAAAGCATGATTAATCTAGTTGCAGGCAAAAGGTAAACCAAAAGTATCAACTAAACAGAGCATGTGTAAATCAGCAAGCCCTCCCCCTTAGATCACCTAATATTTTGCCAAAGAAAGAAAGGACACCTCTACTTCCGACAACAATATTGGGACCATGTGTCCTGGATACGTATTTAGAAACATTGCACCGATAACAGCTGCAGAGCAATATACAGGGGACTCACCCACTAAATCCATACCATACAGTGACAGGTGGAATTGGAATACCTGGTGTTCAAGTTACAATCTTGAGCTACAGGTCAAACCTATTCAACCTAAAACTTTGCAATCCAATAACCAAGACAACCTGTTAAATCAAGTTATCGACCACATACATATGTCAATCCGCCGTGCTCCTTGAGCAGCTCAATCATGGACTGCCTCTTTGCGCCCTCCGCATCAGCTAGTGGCTGTACAAACCAAAGAAATGTTAGCATGATTAGCAATCGTCCTAAGTGTGACATCATAATATTAGAGTCTGGACCAAGCCAGTCAATATTTACAGCACTACAGCACGAATATAACCCATCAGCAAACATAAACCTAGAAGTGCACTGGACAGAACCACGCCACGCTTCTACATTAAAACTTAACACCAAACCGAACCAAATAAGCAACAATCGAGACCGAATGAAAGTATGACTCGTCGCGAGGCAACAAACGTCATACAAACACGCTTAGAGCGAAATCAACCGATCATTGTAGCACCGGTACATTTGACAAGCCAACATAGCAAGCGCGAGACCCCATGAATTCGCAGCGCAATCTGCAAATTCCTCAAATGCAGCAAGGTTGAGACACTAAGGAAAACCGGTTCCCAAGCCCAACGCAGAAGATGGCAAGAGTACCACGCAGTAGTAGGATGAAAAGCTGCAGAGCGTGGATGTAACTGATCGCGTGCCTTTCCAAATTGTCAAATTCGACAAGCCAATCGTATCCCAACAGAAGAGAGTAGGATCTGAAACCTCTGAATCGTTCCAACACGAAAACAAAGAGCCCAAGGCGCAGCATCGACCCAAATCGAGCCCGCGACATCGGAACAGACAGAGAACAGACAGAGCATGCAAATCAAACGCAGATGCAAGGGGCAGGCGAGGATCGTCGGAGGAGACTGACCCACCCCACTCCCACCCACCCACCGTGTTCTGCCAGCGGTCCTGAGAGTTGACGTCGGCGCCGTTGGCGATGAGGCACTCGGCGACGTCGTGCCAGCCGTGGAGCGCAGCGACGTGGAGCGGCGTGCGGCTGTCGTAGTCCCGGGCGTTGACGAGCGCGGCGTCCTCCTCCAGCAGCTTCCGCACGGCGCCGACGTCGTTCTGGTGCGTGTGCCACAGGATGAGCGAGGTGCGGGCGACGAGCCCCTTGTGGTCGAACCGGCGCCGCGCGCCCCCTTCCGACGACCCCGCGCCGCTGCTCCCGCCTCCGGATCCCCCATCCGCCGCAGCGGCAGCCGCGTCCTCCTCCGCCGCGCTCATCTCTTCCTCTCTCTCCCGCGCCCGCCCCGCGTGGTCCGAACCGAACCGGATGAATCTGCGTGGAAAGGGTTTCTCTGCCCCTCCGTTTGTCTCTGTGTGTCTGGAAATCCTACTATTCCGGTGCGGGGAGCTGGGGGACTTTTTAATCGCCCTCTGCCCGCGTGCACTGCACGAGATCTGAATCTGATCTCTGAATCCAACCCGTGGCTGTTTAGCGTCTCATCACAGCGTCAAGCGCTGCTAACCCGTTTCATTAAGGAACCCGCTAGCCGACGCCCACTTGTCGCATGTGCCAGGCTGGCATGGCATGGGCCTGGGCGACCCACATGACCAGCAGGCTTGCTGCTGCTGCTGCATCAATCAGTCAGTCACGCTCTGCCGGTCTGCCCCTGCGCGGGCGTGAACACATGCATCCAAAACCGGCGAATTTTCCACGGAGCTGGGAGCTGGAGCTGACGCAGTCTTTGCTCCTATTTTCGTGCGGCCTGCTTTGCGGCTTTCCCTGTCGCGCAAAGACATCCGAGTTCTTCGCGAAATTGCCACCAAGATGGTGCCATTTTGCACTGATCCGCACGCACTGTGCGACTGTGGGTGGTGAGCAGAACCCCGGAGTTACTGTACACCGATCTCGGACAAATTCTAATCGTGCAGAAGATGGTGTAGGCAACCAATAACGAACCTAGTACAAGTGCGCTGACAACGACAATTATGACTTGCTATGCAAAAATTGCAGGTGCGCTGCTGCGCTCGTTACGTACGAGAGCGAGTGCTTCCCGGTCCCCGTCGTGCTCCCCTCTCCGGTAGGTCCTGGACGCGATTGCCATTCGCCCATTCCTGTGCCCTCACGATTTTTACTTCTAAAACATCGTGTTTGATCGTTGTATTTATTTAAAATTTTATATAAATTATAAAATAAATAAATCATTATTATAAGATCTCTAATAATAAAATAAATTATAATAAAATAAATAATATTTATAAAAAATATTAAATAAAACGAATGGTCATTAAATAAGATGTTCTGAAAACAAAAAAAAAACGACACTTTTTTTTTTGGGACGGAGGGAGTACCTCTTCCAACCATGCTTTTTCGGGCCACCCTAAGCGTGACAAACGCTGCTGCGTGTGCGGCAGCATATCGTATCTCTCAGCTCGCCGGGTGCGGTGCTCCCATCCCGATTCCGCGCTGAGAGCGAGAGGGCGGTGCGCTTATCACCGTCCAGGCGTTCACCCGTTATCGTCCATCGATCGGCAAAGCAGGCAAGCAGCGGTGGGCTGGGATAGGGGGGCCACCGGGCGGTTCCATGTGCGGCACATGGATTCCGCCCAGGACTTGCCAAATGCTTTGGCTTTGCAGCCCCGGTCGCTGCAGGTGCGGAACCGGTCCCTCCGCCGCGCGCTTTTCCGTGGTTTTCTGATGAGGCGAATGAGACTCTGAAAGGATAGCGATGGTGATGTTTTCGTCGGGGGAGAAAGATATTGATACCGACTCGCGTTTATGTTTTTTTCGAAGGATGACTCGTGTTCAGTGTCTAGATGACCGGCAAGGCTCAGGGTGACCGTGCATGGGCTAAGCATGCTTATATCCAATAACCGACGTCCGCAGCGGAGCTTTCGAACTGATGTTCATAGTTTGTGACAAACTGACAATATATATTGGTTCAACACTTCAACGCACCTAATTTTTTATAATTTGATCCTTGTTTTAAAGAAAATTTACGTTTGACCCCCTACGAGACTTAAACTTATCTTTAAATCCCGAGATAAAACGCCTCGACGTCGCAGATCTCGGACGCCGGGTCGAAGACCATATAATAACATGGCGCTGACGTGGCTCACTTGACATAGCTCGGCGCCGTGAAGCAGCCGACCTCTCGGCTGGGCGCTGTGCTGTGCTGTGCTGTAGAGGTCTGAACGCGTGGCTGGGTTTGCCGGGTGGTCCAGCAGAGGAGCAGACAAGGCGACGTGCAGGAGATGGAGCAGATGAAGAACTCCATTTAATGCATGCGTACATGATCATATCATCTGGAGTAGATACATATATCGATCTTCAGCCTGACCCTTATCCAAAATAGTAAATAAATAATGAGTTTTGATTATGTGTGGTGTGGCGCCTTTCAACCTGCGCTGCGTGCTGTTCCTCCGTCTCCATGCCGCCCTAGTAGTTAATAAAAAATTAACCTTTATGAATTCTTTGGTTAAAATATATATTGGCATCTATAATTGAAACATATTTTGTGGAGTATTCTTTTTGTGAATTGTTTAATGGAACTAACTTGACTTTGTAAATGTTGGTCTATTTTTTCTATAATCTTGACTAGAGTTAAAATGAGTTTCAGTTAACACACAATTAAAGTTACGTACAGGAGTATAATCTTGGCCAGACTTTGTAAATGTTGGTCTATTTTTCTATCTCTCCCACTCTCACGCTCTGTGACGTGAAGGCTGATAGATATTAATACTCATCTCGCTCACCGCAAAGCGATATCTGTCTGCAGCAAGACGGCTCATTGTCCACTGCCCGTGTTGCCGTGGCGGGTCATCAAAATAATAAAGGCCCTATTCACGGACTTTTAAACCCTGCTTTGATCCGCTTTCTTTTTCATCTAAAATGGTGTTTTTTCTTACAAATTCCTTCAATATTCTCTAAATCATCTAAATTCCTCCAGAATTTCTCAGAGCGAACAGGCAAAGAGAGCCATCTTCCACTGCTCCCAAGCGTCTTTCGATGCAAACCAAACACAGACTGCTGCACAGTGCCGCTGCACCGCTCGTACTGTGCTACGTGAAGCTGTGAAGACGATGATGCCACGTCACGTCTCAACCTGCATGATAGGGACGCGTGCAGTGCAAGTGCAGATCGATACGCTACTAGTAGTGCTATATGAGTATTATTAGCAGTATTATTATTATGTGTGATGTGTGATACATCATGTGGGGCACGGCAAACACGTGACTCGAGCGGCCGCTGGCATCACACCTCACACGGCAGCTAGTACGTAAACGTAACGCGTCTCGGTATCTTTCGCAGTCTGGGCATGCATGCCTTTGGGCCCCATGCGAACGGAACGGGTGCGTGGAGGACCAGTGAGGCAGTGACCACACTGGCCTGTGCCACCGCCGGCCGAGGATACGCCGCGAATCGGGTCGATCAGTTCCATACGTCGTCGGTTGCGCACGCCGACTCGTCGAGTCGCATTAATTTCGGTGCAGGGCAACATTAGGGTACCCGTATGCAGTGAGGCAGGAGTCGTGCGCGGTGCAGCGGCACTGTACAGCAGTCAGCGTTTGGTTTGCATTGAAAGGCGCTAAGAAGGGCAGAAGATGGATTTTTCTTTATTATTTGTTGACTGGTTATGGCAGCACGGACAGTGGGCAGCAGAGCCATACGCGACGCGGACGGTATCGCTTTGCAGCGAGTAGAGGAGTATTAATATCCATCAGCCTTCACGTCACAGAGCATGAGAGAGTGAGATAGAGCGCCAGAGAGAGCTCCGGCGGCCACACACGCGGTTATTCATGCTCGGCGCCAAGATCTGTGGCGTTGAGCTTGAGATACTGGTCACGCCAACGTCACCTAGATACCCTACTGTGTTCGGTCAGGCACCTCGACGTCGATACATGTTACCTCAGCATTATGAGTCCTGACACCGACCCCAGGATCAAAGATGAGTTTAGCTCTCTCATGGAACCAAATATAGATTTTGTTCAAAAAAGGGAGCCAAATTATATAAAAAAAAAATTGGGCTTCAACGCATGGTGCCTACCGTACAAGCGATAAGCATTGAGGACCAAGTTTTTTGTGTTAAGAAATATATAGCACGCTGCATTAGCACCACTGCCGCTGGATACCTAAGGACCAAGGTGCTGTTTGTTTCAGCGCAGGGAGCGGCAACGGAAAGGAATGGTTCCAGAGCAGCAACGGAAAGGAAATCATGAACGTATCCGAATCACTCCGTGTAACCTTAAAAACTACGAATCAATACCACAAGATGCTAATTCAATAAACATGGTTAGAGGTGGGATTATTTCACACTTAAGGCCCCCAACCATGCTAATTCAATAAACATGGTTAGAGGTGGGATTATTTTACGCTTAAGGCCCCCAACCCGGCTGGTCACTTTTCCAATACCTCTGCCCCCGCCGTCCGCTTTAGTTGGAAAAGTACGGTTGGAGGCTAGCTTAAAATAATCTCATCTTTAACCATGTTCATTGGATTAGCATCTCAGAACTCTAATTCTGTGAGTTCTAAAATTACACGGAGTGATTGGTTTTGCACCATACGTTCTCTTGTTTACGATCTTTGCTCCAGGCGGGAATCGGAGGCAGTTATATTTCACGTGGATGCCAGCGTGATCGCTTCCCACCCACGATCGGACGTAATCGGCGCACTGAACGCGCGTAACTATTCCCGTGTCATCCGTTTACAAAGTACGTCGACCAAACAATAACTAACGTGATCGGTTGGCGGTGTAATAGCTTTAATTTTCTTTGTTACTTTCTTTGTATCATAACCTCTGTTGCAAACACTTGTACATTAATAATAAAAGCACAGTAGGGGTGGGTCTGCACCCTCCTGTTTTCCTAAAAAAAATGCTAACCAAACAGCGTCCAAGTCTTTCTGGAATCAGGCGAGGTAATGGATCAAGTCAGAAACCACTGAAACTAAACAAATGTATTTGAGCTATCCTTTTGGAAAGCAAAGCTCGATTAAAGATCAGACGGGAGGTTAAGGAAATTTTGAGCATTTCCCTTAGGGCAAAGGCGCAAAGCATATGCTTTGGTATTGACTTATTGATCATCCTCCGCGGACAAAGTTGCAGCCTGAAAGTTGATGAAGGGCGAAAAATATGGTAAAGTTTCCCTTTACCCGTACAAGTTATTGTGTGTTGTTGCGAGGATCACAAATGAACTTTAGTGAATGGCCTCTAAAATATGGTTTGCTGATATGGATCGCTGATATGGATAATTTATATAAATGCATATACATATAGATTGCC